CCTCGCCAACACCTGTTGTTGGTGGTGTTGCTATGATGGCTATTCTAACAGGGGTGAGGTGGAATCTTAGTGTGGTTTTAATTTGCATTTCCTTTATTGCTAGAGATGGTGAGCATTTTTTCATGTGTTTTTTGGCCATTTGAATTTCTTCTTTTGAGAAAGTTCTGTTTAGTTCACTTGCCCATTTCTTTATTGGTTCATTAGTTTTGGGAGAATTTAGTTTTTTAAGTTCCCTATATATTCTGGTTATCAGTCCTTTGATGTGTAGCTGGCAAATATTTTCTCCCACTCTGTGGGTGTTCTCTTCAGTTTAGAGACCATTTCTTTTGATGAACAGAAGCTTTTTAGTTTTATGAGGTCCCATTTATCTATGCTATCTCTTAGTTGCTGTGCTGCTGGGGTTTCATTGAGAAAGTTCTTACCTATACCTACTAACTCCAGAGTATTTCCTACTCTTTCCTGTATCAACTTTAGAGTTTGGGTCTGATATTAAGATCCTTGATCCATTTTGAGTTAATCTTGGTATAGGGTGATATACATGGATCTAGTTTCAGTTTTTTGCAGACTGCTAACCAGTTTTCCCAGCAGTTTTTGTTGAAGAGGCTGCTATTTCTCCATCGTATATTTTTAGCTCCTTTGTCAAAGACAAGTTGGTTATAGTTGTGTGGCTTCATATCTGGGTCCTCTATTCTGTTCCACTGGTCTTCATGTCTGTTTTTGTGCCAGTACCATGCTGTTTTTATTGTTATTGCTTTGTAATATAGTTTGAAGTCAGGTATTGTGATACCTCCTGCATTGTTCTTTTGACTGAGTATTGCCTTGGCTATTCGTGGCCTCTTGTGTTTCCATATAAATTTCAGTAGATTTTTCAATCTCTTTAATGAATGTCATTGGAATTTTGATGGGAATTGCATTAAACATGTAGATTACTTTTGGGAGTATCGACATTTTTACTATGTTGATTCTACCAATCCATGAGCATGGGAGATCTCTCCACTTTCTATAGTCTTCCTCAATCTCTTTCTTCAGAAGTTATAGTTTTCCTTGTAGAGGTCTTTCACATCTTTTGTTAGGTTTACACCTAGGTATTTGATTTTTTTGAGGCTATTGTAAATGGAATTGTTTTCATACATTCTTTTTCAGTTTGCTCATTGTTAGTGTATAGAAATGCTAATGATTTTTCTATGTTGATTTTATATCCTGCTACCTTGCTATAGCTATTGATGATGTCTAGAAGCTTCTGAGTAGAGTTTTTTGGGTCTTTAAGGTATAGGATCATGTCTGCAAATAGGGATATTTTGACAGTTTCTTTACCTATTTGTATTCCTTTTATTCCTTCTTCTTGCCTAATTGCTCTGGCTAGGAATTCCAGTACTATGTTGAATAGGAGTGGAGATAGTGGGCATCCTTGTCTGGTTCCTGATTTTAGAGGGAATGGTTTCAGTTTTTCTCCATTAAGTATAATGCTGGCTGTAGGTTTGTCATATATAGCTTTTATAATGTTGAGGTACTTTCCTTCTATTCCTAGTTTTCTTAGAGCTTTTATCATGAAATGGTGTTGGATCTTATCAAAGGCTTTTTCTGCATCTATTGAGATGATCAAGTGGTTTTTGTCTTTGCTTCTGTTAATGTGGTTTATTACGTTTATTGATTTTCGTATGTTGAACCACCCCTGCATCCTGGGATGAAGCCTACTTGGTCGTGGTGAATAATCTTTTTGATGTGTTGTTGAATTCGGTTTGCCATTATTTTGTTGAGGATTTTTGCATCAATGTTCATTAAGGAGATTGGCCTATAGTTCTCCTTTTTGGAGGTGTCTTTGCCTGGTTTTGGGATAAGTGTAATACTGGCTTCATAAAATGTGTTTGGCAGTTTTCCTTCCCTTTCTATTTCGTGGAACAGTTTAAGGAGGGTTGGTATCAGTTCTTCTTTAAAGGTCTGATAGAATTCAGCAGAGAATCCATCAGGTCCTGGACTTTTCTTTTTGGGGAGACTCTTGATTGCTGCTTCAATTTCATTTTGTGTTATAGATCTATTCAGGTGATTAATTTCCTCTTGGTTCAGTTTTGGATGATCATATGTATCTAGAAATCTGTCCATTTCTTTAAGATTTTCAAATTTATTTGAATATAGGTTCTCAAAGTAGTCTCTGATGATTTCCTGGACTTCCATGGTGTTTGTTGTTATCTCCCCTTTTGCATTCCTGATTCTACTAATTTGGGTTTTTTCTCTCCTCATTTTAGTCAGGTTTGCCAGGGGTCTATCGATCTTGTTTATTTTTTCAAAGAACCAACTTTTTGTTTCATTAATTCTTTGTATGGTTTTTTTGGTTTCTATTTCGTTGATTTCAGCTCTTATTTTTATTATTTCTCTCCTTCTATTTGTTTTGGGATTTGCTTGTTCTTGTTTTTCTAGGAGTTTGAGATGTATCATTAGGTCATTGATTTGGGATCTTTCAGTCTTTTTAATATATGCACTCATGGCTATAAACTTTCCTCTCAGGACTGCCTTAGCTGTGTCCCATAGGTTCCAGTATATTGTTTTCATTTTCATTGACTTCCAGGAACTTTTTAATTTCCTGTTTTATTTCATCGATGACCATTTTCATTAAGTAATGAGTTATTTAGTTTCCAGCTGTTTGCATGTTTTTTGTCTTTACTTTTGTTGTTGAGTTCTACTTTTACTGCATTGTGATCAGATAGTATGCACGGTATAATTTCTATTTTCTTATATTTGCTGAGACTTGCTTTGTGCCCTAGGATATGATCTATTTTGGAGAAGGTTCCATGGGCTGCTGAGAAGAATGTATATTGTGTAGAAGTTGGATGAAATGTTCTGTAGACATCAAGTAGGTCCATTTGATCTATTGTATATTTTAGATCTTGGATTTCTTTATTGATTTTTTGTTTGGATGACCTATCTATTGATGATAATGGGTGTTAAAGTCTCCCACAACCACTGTGTTGGCGTTTATATATGCTTTTAGGTCTTTCAGGGTATGTTTGATGAAATTGGGTGCGTTGACATTGGGTGCATACAGGTTGATGATTATTATTTCCTTTTGGTCTATTTCCCCTTTTATTAGTATGGAATGTCCTTCTTTATCTCATTTGATCAATGTAGGTTTGAAGTCTACTTTGTCAGAGATAAGTATTGCTACTCCTGCTGTTTTCGGGGGCCATTGCTTGGTAAATCTTCTTCCAGCCTTTCATCCTAAGCCTATGCTTATTTCTGTTGGTGAGATGGGTCTCCTGTAAGCAACAAATTGTTGGATCTTCCTTTTTAATCCATTTGTCAAGGTGCCTTTTGATGGTGAATTAAGTCCATTAACATTAAGTGTTAGTACTGATAGGTATGTGGTGATTCCTGTCATTTAGTTGTCTTAGTTGTTTGAAGGTTTGATTGTGTGTACCTAAGTTGAGGTTACTCTCTACTGTCTTGCTTTTTCTTTCCTGTGGTTTGGTGCTGCCTGCCTTTTCATGGTTAAGTTGGGTTTCACTTTCTGTGTGCAGAATCCCTTGCAGAATCTTTTGTAGTGGTGGCTTTGTGGTCACATATTGTTTTAGTTTCTGCTTATCATGGAAGACTTTTATTGCTCCATCTATTTTGAATGATAGTTTTGCTGGGTAGAGTATCCTGGGGTTGAAGTTATTTTCATTCAGTGCCGAAGATCTCACCCCGCTCTTCTTGCTTTTAATGTTTCTGTTGAGAAGTCTGCTGTGATTTTGATGGGTTTACCTTTGTATGTTACTTGTTTTTTCTCTCTTACAGCCTTCAATATTCTTTCCTTAGTTTCTGAACTTGTTGTTTTAATGATGATATGTCGTGGGTAGTTCTATTTTGATCTGGTCTGTTTGGTGTCCTGGAGGCCTCTTGCATCTGTATGGAATATCTTTCTCTAGATTTGGGAAATTTTCCATTATTTTGTTGAATATATTACGCATTCCCTTCGCTTGCACCTCTTCTCCTTCTTCGATGCCCATGATTCTCAAGTTTGGTCTTTTGATGGAGTCGTGAGTTCTTGCATTTTCTTTTCACAGGTCTTGAGTTGTTTAATTAATAGTTTTCAGTTTTTCCTTTAATTACCATTTCATCTTCAAGTTCTGAGATTCTGTCTTCTGTTTGTTCTATTCTGCTGGATTGGCCTTCCGTTATGTTTTGCAGTTCTGTTTCATTCTTTTTTCTGAGGTTTTCCATATCCTGGCTGGTTTTCCTCTTTAATGTTGTTTATTTTTGTCCTGAGTTCATTTATCTGTTTATTCATCGTGTTCTGTTTCACTTTGGTGTTTATACAGTGCTTCTATGGGTTCCTTTATTTTTTCTTTTTCTTTTTCAAATTCTCTATTTTTGTTGTCTTGGACTTTCTTGAGGGCCTCCTGTACACTTTGGTTGACCCTATCCAGTATCATCTCTATATGATTCTCATTGAGTACTGTAGTAAGTCTTCTTTTAAATTATTCTCATGGGCTTCATTGGGTCCTTTGGCATAGTTTATCTTCATTTTGTTGGAGTCTGGATCTTAGTATCTGTTTTCTTCATTCCCCTCTGGTTCTTGTACTAATTTTTTGCTGTGGGGAAACTGGTTTCCTTGTTTTTTCTGTCTTCCCGTCATTGTCTTTGGTGTTGTTACTGTCCCTGTACTATGTGCAATTAAGTATTTCCTAGCTTGTAATAATAACAATGGTAATATTTAGAATGGAAGGGTGAGAGGAGATGGAAAGCAAGAAGTTAAAGAAAAGAGAAAAACAAACAGACAAGAAGGAGAGAACAGAACATGGAATCAGACAAGAAAGTTTCAAAGGTATAAACAGGGAGCGTTAGTGTACTAATCAACAGTAAGCTTGTCTGCATCTTCCCAAGCCATCTGGGCACGGGTGACTGGTGGCCCTCCTTGTTTCTCCGTTTAATGTGAAGTGGAGATTCTCTGTGCCGGCTGGAGGTGTGGAGGGGTCAACGTTTTGCCTCTTCTCAGTGATTATGCCTGCAAAGTGTGTCTCCAGAGTCTCTGCAAGATTTCACTATAGGAGGCTCGCTTTCTGCTTCCTCCCTCTAGCCGCCATCTTGGAATCCTACTGTCTTGCTTTTAAACCTTATTTTGATTTGTGAAATGGCAAATTTAAAACTCAACAAATCTAACAGTGGAATCTTTCTGGAGGTACACAATAACAAACTACATTGACAGGAAAGATGAACTGGAATAAAGATAATGTAGGTTTGGCTTCAATATAATTTAGACATTTTTACAAGTGGGAAAAAATAGAAGGCAGATTATTTTGTATTATTTCAATTCATTATTCCATAGAACTTCTATCTTTAGTGAAAATACTAGGTAATCACATACTGACCTTGCACTCATCTAATCCAAGCTTCTTTAGAGACTTTCTGACATAATCCAGGAAGGAAGAACATTTGGAATATATTTTTCCAACATGCTGATCGCTGCAAAACCAAATTGAGTGATTCTTTAGTTTCTCTAATTTAAATTACATATGGTTTTAAATTCAGACATGAAATATTTCAAAATATCTTCTGTGTATATGACACAAGATCGGAATGTAATCAAAATGTGGTAATACTTTTGTGAACAGTTTTAAGTTGACAATGTATTCAGAATCTGCTTCTTAGAATTCTTACAACATAAGTAGTGGAAGAAAATACTATGAAAACAACACTATGAGAAAGAAGCTTTAAATCTATAGTATTCAAAAGTCTCATTTTAAAAAGGAACTAATGGATCTTTCTAAAATTTCAACTGTGCTACAAAGCACATTTTAGCATTACTTGTTAACATGATAGTATACATTTCATTGCAACACCTGCTAATAATGGCAATAATTTAAAAACTATGCAAAGAGAACTTCTTCAATGCCAGCCACTGATAAGCACCATATGCTGTGTTGTGTCTGACTTAATAACATATTATGCCTTGCATATTTTCATTATAGTTTAAACAAAGTATCATGGAATGGTTTTTGAATTTAAATAATACAAACTATTACATTTTACAACTTGGTTGTAATTTAGACATAATGTAAAAACCAGAAATGTAAAAAAAAAAAATCACATGCTGTGAAAAACAGCAAATAAGGCCTAACTTATCCTTGGTAGGATAAACATTAATCCCTATGATTAGTGAGATACTACATTCTATCAATTCTTCCTTTCAAATATCTCTCATATTACTTCAACTACATTTCAAGACAGTGGCCTCAATTCTACTTCTTATTATATCTTACCCTGATTAATTTCAACTATTTTCTAAGACCTCCCTCTGACTGAAGTCTTCTTTTTTTTGGTGGAAATGGGGTTTGAACTCAGGACCTCATGCTTGCTAAGCAGGCACTCTTGAGCCACTCTGCCAACCAGCCTTCATCATTTCTGTTTACATATTCTTTTTTAAAGAAGTGATATTTTGGCCTGGTGTGGTGGCTCATGTCATTAGAGTAGGTAGCTAATCCCATCTACCTGGGAGGTGAAGATCAGGGAGGATCACAATTTGAGGCCAATCTGGACAAATAGTTAGCGAAACCCCCATCTCAACAAGTCAGTCAGTCATCATAAGGGTACATACATACAATCCCTTTTATGAAGGAGATGTAGACAGGAGGATCATGATTGAAAAGCAGTCTCAGGAAAAAATGCAAGATCCTATATGAACAGTAACTTAACGTAAAGAGGGCTGGGGGCATGGCTCAAGTGATAGAGTGCCTGCCTAACAAGCATGAGGCCCTGAGTTCAAATTTGACTACCACTGGTAGGAGGAGTGAAGTAACATTTTTAGGACATTTTTTACTTTGCCATTTCCTTGCTCTTGTTTTAAAATTGAGAATCCTTATTTAAGCAATCAGGACACACATTTATAACCATTTTCTCCTCCTCCCATATCTCACTACTTATTTTTCTCTCCTTAGATAATTCTATTCTTTGATTTAGATTGTCCTCCATATTTTTACCATGGTGTGTTTGCTCATGAAGTCACCTCTTAATGGATTAAAGATTCTTCACGCTTTGGCTTGATTGAATTAGAATCATCCCTTATGACAAAGTTCAAGTTCACATGCTCTTTTTAGTAAAGTGACTGACTAATCTTTCTCAGTTTGAATTTCTTCAGCTCTTATTATCCTTCCATTCCTTTGTTATTTTATCACTGCCTTGAATTAATAGTCATTTGAATAGGTATAGGTTTCCAGAAGCAAAAAACATCTTTTTATAGAGTTGTGTCATTTTCAGATTCTACAAGTAGTTGTATATCTTGTCATCATATTCTCTCTCTATATACATATATGTATATATATATACAGCTTATGTATCACAGAACACTAAATTAATTATATAGTCAGGAAAATATGCCATGTGTTTCTGGTTCTTATTGTTTGGTGGTATTGGGGTTTGAACTCAGGGCTTCATGCTTGCTAGGCAGGCACTCTAGTTTGAGCCACACTTCAGTCTCTCTCTCTCTCGCTTTTTCTCTGATTATTTTGGAGATAGGGTCTTTCTTTTTGCCCAAGGCAGCTTAGAGAACAATTTTATTATTTCATACTTCCCATAGTTGCTGAATGGCAGGTGCACACCACCATGACCAGCTTTTTCTCTATTGTGATGGGATCTTGCACACTTTCTTGACCACTCTGGCCACATCTTCCAGAGCTCAGCCTCCCAAGTAGCTAAGAGTACAGGCGGAGCTACTGGCACCCAGTTTCTGGCTCTGATTTTATACTACCCATTGAAGTAAAGTATAGCACAGAGTGTGTTTTCCAGTCAGACAGATTCCTTGTTCATAAGAATGAGCCATTAATAGTGCTTAGCTTGCAGAGTCATGGTGGGGACTTAGATAACACACATAAGGTGCTCAGTAGAGATATGGTGTGGCTGTTTTGTTATTACTGTCATTATTGTTGTTTTGATCATTCCTGGAAATACAGTCTGTGAATTTTTTTATTAGCCTGAAAAGAACCAGAGTTAAATATCTGCAAGTAAGTGCTAATCACTTTAAGCTAAAGAGAAAATATAAGTGTAAGTGGTGCTGGTTTATTCCCAGGACTTTATATTTCAGGTTGCTTGAAAATAAGAGAAACATTTTCAGTTTAACCTGCCCTTGTCTTACTTTTCCTTTTCAGAATATACTTTCACTGTTATCAAATTTCACTGCATGATAATAAGACTACTTTTGTGTGTTAAGCAATAATTTACTGCATCAGCCTCTTTTTGAAATCCTTTGTTCATCTGTACCATTACCTATGCTTAACAATAAAAGAAAACTATCACCCAACTAGAACTAGAAAGGTGACTGATCATATTACTTTTCCTTTTCAAATTCTCAAGAGCATGCCATGAATCTTGAGATTAAGTGTAAATTCTTTACATAGAATATAAGATTTGTATGATCTGGCTTTCATTCAACCTCTCCAACATTATTTTATAACACTACCTCCTCAGCAACACTGGTATTCTTTCAGTTTCATGAACACTCTATGCTTTTAGCTATGTACAATATTCTTAAACATTTATTCCACTCTCAATCCCTTTTCCTTGGGAACCACAAACTCCTCCTTTCAAATTCTATCTCAAATGCTGCCTCCTTAGGGACACCTCTGGTATTCCAGAAGTAGTTTGGCTCCTAGCACAGAACATATCTCCTTTATATACTTGTTTTACTAATTATCCCTCTCTCTTGATATTTAAGCCAGTGAATTTTCTAAAGGGGGTGAAAAAACTCAAAGGGAAAAGAATATTAGAATTTTAATATCTACTTTATATTTTAAATTTCATTTCTTAATGTAATGAACATTCTATACACCAGTACAAACATGTAAATTAAAATAATTAAATATTCATTTTTGTGCACATGTTTTATTGACAAAGGCATGGAATTTAAAAAATGTTTGAGATCTCTATGCAGCTAAAGAGCAGCTTTTACCTGTTTTTCTCATGCCTATATTTTCAGTAACTAGCACAGAAGCCACACAGCAGAATTTCAATAAATGAATTAAATAAAAAATCCTTCATCTCATAGAAACAAACACATCTTGTTACATGATAACAGGGAAATACATTATTATTGTAAACAGATCTACTCATTATAATCGAATAGACAAAAGGCAGGCTTAATTATACCAGTATAATTGAAAGTATATAGTGAGAACTACAAATATATAAAGAAAAGTGCAAAGTAAACAATATACATAGAAACAGTTGTTATTTATGTGTGAATATTTAATATTAATATTTATTATATGCCAGTGTTTCTTAACTCACTCAATCTTTATAACAACTCCATGTGACTAGATCTTATTAGTAGCCTCATTTAAAAATAAAACAAAAAGTTAAGCAAACTGCCTGATGTCTGGCTTTAAAATCTGGGGTATTTACTAGTCATTGTTATCTCCAGGACAGTAGGTATAAAATTCATATGCAAAAATGTTAAACTGCAGATGAAGAATGACCACCTTTGTGTTGAAGGCAAACAGATGCAAGCATTACCATGACACTCTACTAGAGTATGTATATAATCTCCCAATGGTATGGGAAAAGTTGAAAGAACTAATGATTACATTTCAGCTTAAGAAAAAAAGGATATTTTTCAGAAAACGGACATGTTAATTTTAATAATATTACCAGATCAGCACATTAGTAAGTATAATAAATTGGACTTTTAGAAATTTGAAAAGTTAAAGGTTACCAATCTCTAAAATCTCAGTGTCTTATAAAGCAATCTTTTCATAAAGGACATTTGGAAAGAAAATTTATGACATAAAATGCAATCTATTCTTTTGCAGTTGTAAGAAAAGGATAGTATTTGATTTACTGGATTTAGAAGGGTCTACAATTTTAAAGATTAAGAACTGCAATTTTATTAGTTAACAAGAGAAAAGGAGACAGCCCCTAGAAACTCAAAACTTAATAGATGGAAAATAAAGGGACAGATTAAGATTACTCATGAACAGAACACGGGGCATGTTTTAGTTTCCAATAATGTCAGTCTTTCAGGGGAAACCTTGCTGTACAATTTTTTCATTTCTTAAGAGTTTTATAAAGAATACTGTTTATGACATTAGGATCTTCTTAGGTGCCTTATAGATACAACAGCCTTTTGAATATTAAGTGCCAACCTCAGCTTCTTCATTTGGTATCCTTCTAGATTTAGAGTCTGCCTTTGATAGTTACATTTTGTAATATCACAGGTTCATTCGTCTTACTTCATGTTGAAGTGTGTGAAGGAAAATACAAATCATTCTATTTAGTTACTTACATAATTATTATTACTGTTTTCTGTAAGAACATACATAATATCAGAGATATGAAGGCCATTTCTTTTTTCTCCCTTTATCTTCGACTTGTCCTTACTTGCTGGATCTTTACTTTCATCTTATGAAAATGGTCAAATTTCTGTTTCTGAAAAAAACAAGCAAGCAAACAAAATCCCCAAAACTGTCCTCTGA